TTTTTTATAAAAAAAAAGTTTTAAAAATTTTTAGATGTCAGCTAACTTAATTTTTACAACCTATTTGTTCCCCCCAAAAATCTGATTAAAATAAATTGAGCCACAATAAATAATTTTAAAAATCATAAATCTGAGAAAAAAACAGATATCAGACAATTTTTGTATTTTAAAAAAAAATTAGTAATTTTTTAAATAAATTAAAAAAAATACTTAATTAATTTATTTAAAACTAACAATAATTATCTGACTTTTTTTTATTTATAATTTATATACTCAAAAAAACTCACATTTCGCAGATTCAAACAGCAACTGCATTTGGCGGGAAAATGACGCAGCGAGTCTCTGAAGCCTTGACACTGCACGGGAAAAAAAGCCACCCACTACACTACTTACACAATAATTTATCATAATGAAAGCTAAAAACCGAATTTTTACTACTTAAACCCGACTCTGAATAATAAATTCGATTAATCAATGCTTCTAAAATATAAAAAAGACCGATCGAAAATTCCGCGGTATATATAGGTATACATGACTGCGCTAAAAGCCGGCAAACGGATGCCTGAATTTTCCAATTCATATTTAAGTAATTTTTAACGGAGGAATAACTAAAATTTATTACTCTACGCGTTTATCGTCATAAAAAGAATAATTTTGTGTGTTTATTTTAATTAATTAACCCAATATTTACTAAAAAATTTAATAAAACTAGTGGAGAAAATTCGCGTAACGTCTAGTCATTCCGCGCAGTCGCCATGTTGTGAAGTTCGCTGCGCGCGCATGCCGGGTATAACAGAATTGGCCGTTAGAAATTTCAACGGATATTTTTAAATTTGTTATTTTTATAAAATATTATTAAAAAATTTTTTTTAATAATAATAATTAATTTTATTATTATAATTATATAAAATATAAAATAAAAACTTTTAAATTTACAAATTAAAATATTTAACAAGGAATTAAATATTTAAAAATTTTTTTAATAATTTATGATTTTATACCATGATAAAAATATAATAAATATAAAAATCAATGGTGATATATATATAACACACTCATAAGCAATTTTATTTGATATCTTGATTATTTTTTAATTTTTTTTAGCAAAAAACTTTGTTCTAAAAAATTATTTTTTAAAAAAATTGCATTTTTAATTTTTTTAAATTTCTAAATTTCCATTTTTGTTTCCATAATTTATTTGTAACGAAAATTCTAAAAATAATTAATTAAATAATTGTTAAATTAATTTTCATTAATTATCCATTAAATTTTTTATTAAAACTTTCAAAACGATAAAATTAAATTTATAAATAAATTCAGTTTCAATTACAGTGCAATAATAATTTCACATTTATTTTAAAATATGTATAGGGTTTTATAATAAAAATAAGTGTTGAGATAGATTAAAAAAAAATTAATGCAAAATTTGCACTTGGCAAAAATGTAATTAATAATTAAAATATTGTTCAAACACCAGGTAACAATATTATTAAAATGAACCTGAATAACTGAATAATCTTAAGTGTTACGTTTCAAATAAAAGAGTAATAAATTTAAAAATATGACGGGAATATAAAAAAAATGAATTATAGAATTAACATAATTTATTCTGTCTTATTTTTCTATAAATAATCTTTATGCTTCAAAAAACGGGAATAACAATTGAATTTTGCGCTATTCAGCCTTTATGTATACCACAAACCCAGTTTTCGAGCCAATGAATCCTTTGAGTAGCAATAACGTCTTTTCATAACTTTACCATCCAGAAATTATTGATCTTCAAAACTGTAAAAACTCTTTACAGTTGTTGCGGACTTGATTTGAATTTTCTCACAAAATTTCTCCTTAAAATTAATTCAATGAGGTAAATGAATAAAAGATAAACAAGTATTTTGTTGTACTATGATTTGAGTTTTATTAAACAAATTAAATACAAAAGATCTTGTGTTTATTTAAATATCTTTCCGATAGTTACTGTCATCTAATCGCATTTCGTTATAAATAAAACCAACAGGTATTTATATAAATTAAATAATATTAATAATAATAATAATTAATAAAAACGTGTGGAAGAATAATATTAATAATAATAATAATTATGATATAAACTGTCTATATTTATATAAATATATCCTTTAGTCAAGATTAATTCGCATTCTACGGATTATTATTTTATTTATCGACACGTATTTATATTTTTAAATATTTATATTTATTTATAAAGGAGATAGTGGCTGACATTTTGTAAATAAATTTTAAAAATTTATTTATATTTTTATAATTATAGCGAGCAAGTAAAAAATTATATTTTTTAAATGGATATTAAACAGTGAAATGAAATTTTATAATTTATTCTTTTAAATTATCAAATAATATTTTGTACGTCAACACATGCGAAGTTATTTTAATTTAATTTTAATAATCAGTACCTGTAAATGCGTTTGGAATGAAATAAAAGCGATTAATCGCTGTAATTTATAATAATAATAATAATAATAATAATCATTATTATTTCATTGACGGTTCAATGATAATAACAATAATTAATATTATCATTACCATTTAGAGAGTAGTATCGATAATAAAATTTAAATTACATCTGTACAATTAAATAGTTTAATGTATATATTAATCAATGACGTTTTATACTGAGAGAAATTTAATTATTTTATTTATTTTGCAGTGAAGATGAATATTTTTAGAGATATGTACAGAGATATATATTTTTAAAATTTTTAATTTAATATGTAGATATTTAATATTCCAGGATGTATATATAGGCGTATCGACTAGTCGAACAGTGTCCTTTAATGTCATACTTTTATTATTTTTATTAATGACATTCAAAGTGCGCTGTTTAATGAGCATTTATATATTTTATTATTTTTATTTTTATTAATGACAAATTGAGAAATAAAGATAAAAAAATAATTTTATTTAATTTAAGTATTTAGTTGAATAACTGAGTGTTTAATTTTTTATTTAAGGTAGTACGAGCGCTAGGCAGGATGAAGATAGATATCGAATCTAGCGCAGTAACCATTTGATTTTTCTTAATTAATAGATAATACATTAACAGTGGCTATTGGCGGCATTTATTTTTCTTTTAATTAATATTTTTTTAATTAATCGGGCAAGTGATTGCTTAACTTCAAAGTTAATTATTTATTTAAATAATCGGGCAATTTCCTTCAAATTTTCTGAAGTTATTTAGACATATTTAAACTTCATATTAAAAAAAATCAAGTCTCTTAATTCTTTAATTTTAATACTCAAAATTATACTTTTCTTGTAATTATCATAACTATATTCCAAATTAAAAAAAAAAAAAACGATTATTTCTTAATATCTAAAATTTTGTAATTTTATATCTTCATTATTCATACGTGTATTTTAACTATTTGGCTATACTACCTTGGCATTGAAATTAAATAATAAATGATTAAATAAAAAAATCAAGCCTTTTATCAAACGCTGCCTTGGTGCTCGTACTACCTTAATGTCAAAAATTTTTGTCAAACTTATAGAATTAAATTTTTTTTAATTGAATTTCCGATGTAATAATTACTACGAATAATTTTTGATACAACGCAGTTCATAATAATTATGATTAATAATACAGTAATTAATCGATTACTTATTTGATACCCAAATAATATAATTGAACTTTACTAATTAGGACATGCAATTATCACAAAAAAAATGTACCACAAAACGTGTCCAAATATGCAAATACAATAAATAAAATAAAATTTGCATAGAAATATCAAAATTCACAATTATTCATACAATATGATCCTTCAGTTAATTAAAACGCCTACAATAAATATTACGATGAAAATAAATTTAGAATTTACAGTATTAGCATACAAATATCCTGAATTAATAATTATTACAACTACTCTGGACTTTCTAAAAATAACTTTTAAACACTCAGTCAAAAACTAGGTAGAACAAACAAAACAGAGACCATTCATGGACACCGTTAACGACGTAATCACTCCTTAAACGGACGATAATTAGGTCCGTTAAATTTAAACAATCGTATACATAATAACCAAAATTATTAATTTTGAATCATAAATCATCATTTAACACTTAACTTTTTACTTCCATCAATCATTAATATAATTAATTATAATTTTCAACTGAAGATTTTTATTTATTACTGCAAATTTAACCTCTTAATTATCAATTAATCTTTCGTTTTTGAAATAAAAAAAAAGCCATTACGGCTTTTATATATTATTTAATTCTCCACATATATAATATTAATATTAATAATAATAATAATAATAATATTCAGTATTAATGTCAGCTTAACTCTATTCTAAGCTATTTACACAAACTTACAAACTATAATTATACTTTAAATTCCTTTTATAAACTAACTTACAAATAAATATAATACAGGTGCCGTTAAATAATTATTCGGCATTTAAAAAGGATATTTAACATCTTTGGATTCAATTTATTACACATTTATATATATTTATATATAACTGATTTGTAATATATTTCTAGTCACTCAAATAAAACTTTATTTCATTTGAATGATTAGATATAATTAAATAAGCTTGAGTAAAATAAAATTTACCAAACTTTTTGTTCGTCTTCATAATTTATAGTATATATATTTATTATCATTATTCAGTACTAGAGTAAAAGCGATCAGCATAGTATATTTTAAATGATATACTTTTTTTCTTTTATCGTAGGCTTTCCTCATCCTCAATCTTTACACCCGTGATTCATACACTTTAATTAATCGTAATATACATGTATATATTTTTTTTTTCTTTTATATATATGTATTATATTTTTATCAGTTATCATTGTCGGGTACGTGACAGGAAATATTATAGATCAATGCGTGTATGGTCCGGAGTACAAGGAAGCACTAAATAACATGCGGTTATTATTTTATTTATTCGCATTATTTTTTTTTTCTTTAAATATATACTTTTTGTTTTGTTTTTATCTATTCACAATCATTCGTTTTAGATATGTCCTATCCGCTCGCTAGTCTGACTCACACCACTAGTAAAGTACAAAAAATAAATAGTAGAAAATAATTAATACAATATAAAAAATTAATATAAACAAACAAACAGAGGACGGTCAGGAACTGGTGAATTTTTCTCGTCTTTTTTATCTTCTATTGATTGCTGACTTTTTTTTTTCTTCGTATTGGCTCTTTATTTACACTGCTGACACTTGAGCTTCGTCGTCATCTAAAACAAATTATAATCCCAATTATTTATTTTTATTTTTTTTTCTTTTTACTTACACTGAAAAGAAATTTTTTAAAGGATTCAAATTTTTTTTACCAATGCAGAAAAAAAATTTGAAAATTTAAAATGATGCAGTTAAAAAAATTTTAATAATTAATATTAGTGTGATAAAAATGACAATGAATGCAGGCAGACTAAGTACAAGCAATAACAGTTACTAAAATAAAAATAATGTAAAATAATAAGTACTATGTACAAGTTAGTAATTATTCTGTAATGTTACCACGATAAAATCTCGGTTTTTTTTTTTTTTTCTTACAATATACAATACAAAGCAGGCAACTACAATAGTATTCTATCAAGTGACTGCAAATATGCTGACTGTGATGTTTAAATAGATACTGGCAAGCATTTGGTGCATCTGATTATCTGAGTGATTATAAATGCGTAGTCATGAGAGTGATGTTAAGTATGCACAATATACGTTTACATTATTATTATTTTATAAAAAAAATTTTTTTTTAATAAATAAAAATATAAATTAACAGTAAATAATAAAGTTTAAAAAAAAAAGTAGAGATTGTTTTTAATAAAGTAATAATAAAAAGAAGACCAGACTAGAGCAGAGAAAGAAGAATAAAATATAATAAAAGAAATTACGTAAAGTATTATTATCCCGTAGAATATAATAAATATAAAGAACAAAGTTACAATTAAATGTAAGTGAACAAAGAAACTAGCATAAATAAAAATAGTTTACACTTCGATGGCCATCACCTAACGGATTTTTGTTCTAGACTATGATATAATATATATAAAAATTTATAAATATAAAATTTCTACGATACAATAGTTTTAGTTTGTGATAATTTTACCGACGAAAATAATGTTAATATAAAAAATATAACAGTATTGAACAACAATACAATAAAAATTTGAGTGTTATTTATAATATATATAAAAATATGGACATGAATGCCAGTGAGTAATCCAAAGACATGAAGTAATAATTTAATAAAATTTAAAATTGTGTATTAGGCGTTACTGCAGTACCATCTTCATGGTTGGTGCGATAAGTGACTCCTTCGTGGCTGTGGGCTCTGCCCAGCCTGTGCAATCTTGCCATCTGAGCGGCGACTTTGTACGCTGGAAGCTGTCGACACTGCCCAGGAGCGCTGCCTGGGAGCACTCCAGGTCGTTGGATCATCGAGGAGTTATTGTTCATAAAAGAGGTTGTCCCTGCGCTATGGTGCATCACTCCTGTTCCGAATCCAAGCCCAGCTCCCGTACAACCTGAAAGCCCTTCACTCTGGGTCTCGTTCTTCATTTACAGATTTTTTATTATTATTTATCACCCTATCGGATTTTTTTTTTTAACTTGAAGATTTTGAAGTTATAATTCTTCAAAATAATCAAGTCAATTATCGCCGATCCCTGGTTAAGGCCATTAAAAACCACACTAGCAAATGAACTCTGATTAACGACTGTAATATCGATTTTCCAAAAAAAAAAAAAAATTCCAGAATTTTTATTTACAAAATTTTTGGAGAAAGAAACCTAGAAAGCACCAGTAGAAGAAAGATGAAGGAAGAAAATTAAAAAAAAAATAGTAGGAATAATAATAATAATGATAAGTACAATTGTAGTTAAAATAACAGCAGTCACAAATAACATACACACCTGGAGACAGCAACACCAGCAGCAGCAACAGTTGTTAATAATAAAGACAAGACAACCCACGAAAAAGTACTCAGTACTCTCTTTAAGCCAACCAGTCAAGTAGCAAAAACTCATAAATATGACATTGACAATTTACATGGTTGTTAGCGTGCTCAAACTAGCTCTTCAGCCAAGCGATTATGCCTTACAAATGTAACATGTATATTTATAATTTATAATTATAATTATAAAGAAAAAAAAAAGACAGAAAGGTAGTGAAGTATATTTTAAGGACAAGGAGTATAGTAGTCCGGTGGTTAATGACAGCATGAATGTAAGTGGATGCCGTGACCAAATAAAAAGGAGACATGCCGGTCCTTTGTCGACTCACCTCGAGGGGGTGGCGGTGGCGGTGGTGGTGGTGGTGATGATTGGGATTGTTGGTGATGATGGTGATGATGGTGATGATGTAGATGATGATGATGTTGTTGTTGTTGATTCTGATGATTATGCGTATGGTTGATTGGAAGCGGAGGTAGCACTGCTACTGCGTGGGGGAATGGAGGCAATCCACCTCTTACCGATCCTGCACCACAATTTTTAATAACCCAACTACTCTACTTTCTGTTTATTTTTTTTTCTTTGTCGATCAGAGATTTTATAAAGGTAAAAATGATCCCTTTAGTTTTTTTATTTTAAAAATTTAGACATAAAACCATTACCGGCAAACATTCAGATTGAAATTAAAAAAATATGTATAATAATAATTATCAAATATAATTGCTCTTTTATTGGCTAATTAGAAGAAAAAAAATTTTTTTTATAGTGTATTTATAGTAAATAGGCACCTTGCAGTCACTATGTGACTGCCGTGATTTGTGAAATATAAATAAATAAAATTTTGCTTTATTAAATAATGAATTTTGTTAAATTGCACTGTACTTTTTTAACTATTAAAATTTTTAAAGATATAAGCTCATTCCAATGTTACACTCATCAAGAGCTTTCATTTGAGTACCCACATGCATTTTCATATATACATATATAATATATATAAATATATAAATATATGAAAAATTGATGTGGGTACTCAAATGAAAGGTCTCAATGAGTTTAATGTCAGGATGAGCTTATATCTTCAAAAATTCCATTAGTTGACAAGATAGCAAAGTCAATTCATAATTATTGACATTTTTTAATATATAAGCTCATCTCGATGTTACACTCATCAAGAACTTTCATTTGAGTACCCACATGCATTTTCATATATACATATATAATATATATAAATATATAAAAAACTTGATGTGGGTACTCAAATGAAAGGTCTCGATGAGTGAAATGTCAGGATGAGCTTGTATCTTCAAATATATCATTAGTTGACAAGATAGCAAAGTCAATTCATAATTATTGACATTTTTTAATATATAAGCTCATCTCGATGTTACACTCATCAAGAACTTTCATTTGAGTACCCACATGCATTTTTGATATATTTTTCATATGTACATATATATAATATGTATAGATATATGAAAAATTGATGTGGATACTCAAATGGAAGCTCTTGATGAGTGTAATGTCAAGATGAGCTTATATCTTCAAAAATATCATTAGTTGACAAGATAGCAAAGTCAGTTCTTAATTATTGACATTATTTAAGATATAAGCTCATCTCGATGTTACACTCATCAAGAGCTTTCATTTGAGTACCCACATGCATTTTCATATATATATATATATATATATATATATTATGCATAAATATATGAAAAATTGATGTGGGTACTCAAATGAAAGGTCTTGATGAGTGTAACATCGGGATGAGCTTATATCTTTAAAAATGTCAATAGTTCACAAGATACAAGGTCATTTCTTAATTAAATATCTAGAGATAGAGCATTTTTGAATGCAGCTTAAATACTTATCACCATAAATTGAATATTTATTGTAATTAAATAATAAATTTTTAATTTAGTTATTGAGTTACTAGCCAATAGAAGAGTAATACAACTTAAAATAGTAAATAAAAGAATAAAAATAAACCCCAAGTCTTAGCTTGACAAAGCGCTTAAGCAATCCTCGACAATTAGACACCAAATACCATAAAAGCAAAGAATGACAGATGAACAAGAATAAAGCTTTATAAATATACAATAATAATAATAATTTAATGATTGAATGTATAACGCGATGGCAGAAAATAAAATGTATCTGCCATGGGACATACGATATTTATCAATAAAAATTTATAAAAAATTCCGAAAAAATAAAACCCGTTGATAAATGTAAAAAATAATAATTAATGTTTAATAATTATAAAATATAAATAGTATCTGTGGTGGGTGTACTCGGAGTTACATACCTTGCATGGATGAATGCCGTCTCTGGGGCGGTGGAGGACTCCCACCAGCTTCGACGCTGCTCCCGCTGTGGCTATCCAACTGTGTACTGTGACCACTGTCACTGCTCGTCACCGAACCTACGCAGACGTCGGCAACATACTTCTATCACAACACTATTTCAGCCCAACCAATACACCTCCTTCTAATCCTTAATACTTTAATCTAATCTAATCTAGGCTATTACTTATGTTTATTTATTTATTTTTACTTATTGGTTATTATTGCATAATATCATTAATAATAATAATATTAATAACGTAATATTAATCTCTATTACTTAATATTATCATTATTATTATTATTATTATTATTATTATTGCATATTACATCAATAAAACAGTTAACTAATAACCCTGACGACAATATAAAAGCTCTACATGTATGTCCCATGGTGACAACATTCGGATCGTTATCTCATAATGTTTACTTCCATTATTTTATTATATATATTATTATATTATTATGATCAGACCTATTTGATCATTTGATATTATTCGATAGCAAAAATAGATTTTTTTTATTTATAAATTTAATCAAGATGCTAGTAGATGCTCATAAATGTATGACATGAAACATTTAATATGAATGAATATTATTAATGTTTTAAATAATAATAAAAATGAATATATTGCGTAACAATTGTGCAACGTGCATAACAATTATAATAATCAAAAAAAAAAAATAAATAAAATTTTTAATATAACGTACGATCCGATCCGTGTATGAACGAGCAACGAAAGTGCACCATGGTTCAAGACAAAAGTGTAAGCCGTTCCCTAGTTTGTTAAATTTATATTAAGTTATATTAAGCTAATTAATATTCATTTTATTTGTTACTGTTATTGTATTGTACTGTGTTGATCGTGTACTCGCGACTAGAAGAAAACTATAAGTATTTAAGTTTACAATAAGTCACGACTTACCACTAGTCAGTGTCTTTCTTAAAGGCTGGAGGTTACTGAGACTAGTGACACTACTGCTCTCGGCGCTAAGATCCACTGGAGGCGGCAAACCAGAGGGTGTATCGCTGTGCGACCTTTCATGCATCGGCATTCGGCTACCAGAGCCTACTCTTCTAGGTGCTCCTGGACTTGGTTCCAATCCACTCGAGTGCAAAGCTAGACCTGGGACTGGAAGCGCGGGACAGTGCTTTGGTTGGTATGGTCGGGTCTTGTGGGGGTCTGATAGAGCTAGCATTTTTCGTACTGCTTGTGGTGATGCTGCTCCGAATTTTGTACCTGAAATGGATTATTTAATTAGTTTTTAGTTGGGAATATGAGTTTTATTGAAATTCATTATTCAAAAATAATTAATTGATTAATTATATTGGTGGTAATTGGAAAAGTTAATTACTTTTTATTGTTTGACAGAATTTATAGTTCACAATTGGTAGTAATAATGAATAAATGCTATACTAGCAACTTTTAATTCACTATGTGACTGCCGTGACTTGTGAAATATAAGTAAATAAAATTTTGCTTTATAAAATAATTACTTTTGTTAAATTGCACTGTACTTTATTAAATATTGAAGTTTTTAAAGGTATAAGCTCATCCCGATGTTACACTCATCAAGAGCTTTCATTTGAGTACCCACATGCATTTTTGATATATTTTTTATACATACATATATATAATATATGTAAATATATGAAAAATTGATGTGGGTACTCAAATGAAAGGTCTCGATGAGTATGATGTCGGGATGAGCTTATATCTTCAAAAATGTCAATAGCTCACGAGATACAGGGTCATTTCTTAATTATTGACATTTTTAAAGTTATAAGCTCATCCCGATGTTACACTCATCAAGAGCTTTCATTTGAGTACCCACATGCATTTTGATATATTTTTCATATATAAATATATATAATATATATAAATATATGAAAAATTAATGTGGGTACTCAAATGAAAGGTCTCGATAAGTGTAATGTTGGGATGAGCTTATATCCTCAAAAATATCATTTGTTAACAAGATAGCAAAGTTACATCTTAATTATTAATATTTTTAAAGTTATAAGCTCATCCTGATGTTATAATCATCGGAGCTTTCATTTGAGTACCCACATACATTTTCATATATTTTTCATATATACATATATATAATCCGGCAATTAAAATTTTTAAAGACGGTTTAAATTAAAAATCTGATTCTATCTACTAAAGTTCCTCAAATTTAATAATTTTATAATTTTAATTTCCTAGTTTAAAAAATTTTTCAACAATATAAACTATTCATTAATTTTTTAAGAATTTATTCTTTAACAGACACCTAATTACCATCAATAGAATCAACCAAAAATCATTGTTATTATTATTATTAAAAACTCATTTTCATCAATGATTTTGATCAATACCTTGTATGCTTTTCCTACCCTCACTAGTACTACTGGCACTACTAGTAGTAGAAAGCGTGGGTGAAGGATGCCTTCTACCCCGACTTCCTGAAAGCGGAACAGCCGCAGTAACAGCAACCGCACCAGCATGTGGCTCACAATCCACCGACAACCCATGTAAACGTTCCTCATCCGTAATAACCTTCATATTCGCCAAGTAGGCCTTGACCCTTCTCACCATCTGAGCTTCCTCGAACATTTTTTTGGGATTCGGAGCGGCAGCAGACTTTTTCCTCCTCTTAACCGTCGCAGTTTGACCACCTTGATTCCCAGTAGTCATCTGATTAAGCGCAACCATCGCAGAACTCGGAGGCTGACCACCCCGCTCCAACATCGTCAGCAAATCATACGGCGACGAGCACATATTCGTAAGCGCCCTCACTTCCTTAGCAATCATCCTCAGCTTTTCAAAGTTAACTAAATTCTCGACTCTAGAATCATTACCCAGATGAATAAACGTCAAGTCTTTCTTCACCACCGGGTAGAAAGGAATTATCGGCGGCTGCGTTTGTTCAGAAGCCACCAGCTGGCGATACTTGCTCATATTCCTGCTGGGGTCCATCAGTTCCTGCAGATCACTGAACAACCTTTGATACTTGCTGGGTAATTTCTCCCAAGAGGCTCTCAAACGTGAAACAGCTCCATGACCCAGACCGGAAATAATCGCGAACATAGAATTGAAATTTTTACACTCTTTGCACTGGCGGGCAATTTTAATAAACTGTTTTATTATTTTACTACGTCTGACAAGATTATGTTCAGAGCAAACCTCCGTGACAACCCAAAACATCTCTCTGTTGACTAGTTCCGCGAATTGGCTGAGCATTGGTATCCCATAGCGACTCTTTAACTCAAACAAATCATCCACGTACTCTGTAGACTCTATTTGCCGGAAAATACTAAAGTCTTGGAGTGTCAACTGAATAGCAACTTCTACGGCATTTAGTTGTAAAAAATGTACTTGGGACTCTCGTATCAACTCAGGTGCCTGTTCGTCAGCTACCAGCGTCTCGGAAACTCCATTGGTCTTAAGGTAGTAGCGCGAGCTTAAGCCTATTCTCTCTGCCAAATTTTGCAGCTGATCTGGCAGTCTTCGCTGCTTAATCATTCCGCCTTCGGCGACACTTACTTCTGCCAGAGAATAATTCGAGCTGCTCTCTGTTCCCAGCCCAAACTCTTGCAATGCAAGCATAACAACTTCATGAGCTGTCGTTACTTGATGCACTAGAAGATATTTGCAAGTCTGATCAGCTTTGTAGACTTTTAGTACGTGCTCGGGATAATCGGGCGCTCTTAAATCATCGTAGCAATATATCGAGGTTAAATCGGGATTACTGCGGGAATGATAAAGGTTCGAGGAATTCTGGAGTCCCGTTCCCGGAGGCGTGTGAGGAGGTGCCAGCGAATCATCAGCATGCATACCGTCGTTGATAATGTTCTTTGGCAATATGTTCATCTTCATTAGCGCTTTTTGAAATCGCCTTTTTGGTCCCAGTGTCATGAACCCCTTGTGTTCTTTTTTGGAGTCCTTGCAAGGCGAGCCATTGTTGTCGGGAATTAACAGGGGCACTCCGCCGACCATGGGGTTGAGCTGCCCTCCGGGCGTCAACGGGTCCACGTGGGTTGACAGCCTGGAGCGCGGGTCGCTTGGTATTCGCGGGATTTCGGGTTTGTTTACTCGTCCACGTGGTCGCGGCGAGTTGTCGGGCATTTGTAGCATTTCTTTGAATGCCAGCAGATTAGATTTAACTGTAATACTGAGATGCGTTGAACCACGAAGAATTTCTAGGGCTCTCGCGTGGCTCACGTGCTCGAAGCGCTGGCCATTTACTTCTAGAATTTGGTCTCCGCGCTTCAATCCTACGTCTTCGGCCTTGGAGTTCTTGTCTACTTTGGATATGAATATTCCAAACCCGCGTTCGTATCCTCCAAGTATACTGAAATTCAGGACTTCGTCTCGGTTTGGCCTCGCTAGAGTTATGTTGCGCGTTCGCGCTTTTGCAGCACATGCAATGTTTAATAATCTGAAAAAAAAAAAAAAAAAAAATTACAATTAATGAATAATGTTTTATCTTAAGGAGGTATTCTGGTCTAGAAATTTGAAAAAATCGATTTTTTTTCATATTTTAAAAAATTAATCTTTTATCCCTGAATTTCAATATTTAATATTTTTTATATTATAACCAAGACATTGTAATTTTTTTTTTTATCTCAAATGTTAATATTGTATATTCGTCTTTTTTTATGTATATTATATTCTCATATGCAAATTGTACACTTTGTACCCCCCCTTGCTAAAAATAAATTTGTAAACTAAAAAAAAATGGTACAAAAATTAATTTTTTTTTTTTCAAACAATCGCCATTTTGTGAAAAAAAATTTTTTTTTTAACTTTTCTGTAGTTCCAAACATTGCGACATTACTCTAGATTAATAATCTTTTTTTTTTTTTTTTTTCCGATTGCTAGGAAGGTTGGAATCGTGGGTATAGTTGCTTGCCAATTTTTTGAAGCCCTCCACTTCATCAGCTGACTACTTTTTGAATTTTGAATTTTTTTACTTTTTTTTTTTTTTTTTTTTGTATTCTTGAAATATATAAAAAAAATCAATCGCAAAAATATTGATTCCCTGTTTTTTACAGCACTTCAAAAATGACCTCAAATTCATGACTCTAGACCAGAATACTCCCTTAATTGACAAGTGTTTAAATAATTTTTAAGCAAAAAAATATACAATTGATAAAATAAAAAAAATTCATTGCTACTAAAGATAAAATACCTCTGTTGACCCTGCATTTTTTCGCGCTCAAGGCCAGCCTCGAATGCTTCTAAAAATTCCATCATCGCCGGGTCTGTTTCAAAGTCCGTGAAATGATTATTGACCCAGAGCAAAACGACACGTGCAACGCGATCTTTGACCTGTGGCTGGGCAAACCATTCGAGTAATTGATCGGCTACCAGCAACGGGCTGTCGATGAACGTTCGATGGGTCAGCAGGAAATCCTCGACATACGTCGGGTCTGTAATACTGTTTTCTTCAATAAGTTGGAGCATCAGTCGCTCAGGTGTCCCGCGAATCACAACATGACCGCGTCTTGTTCCACCGTCCAAGGCGCCTCTCAGCTCGGTAACCAAAATCACGCGACCGTTCTCTTCATGTCGCCTCGTGTTTTCTTCCCCCTGATGCTGGATGCGAAAATAGTCAGCTTGTGTCACACAAACAAATTGGCAGTCATTGCACCTAAGGTAAGAACAAAACAAATAAATGAAAATTTGCCAAAACAATCCCGACTAATAAATATTTAGTATGTAATATATATACTGTATCTCTTTAATTTCAACAGCAACTGTTTAGCAAGTACACAATGTAATTTATAATTTATAATCTATATACACGGAAGAGAGAAACATCCAAAGAGAAAAAGAGAGAGAGGAGAAGGATAATAAACATTTATTTAAATCCTATTAACTGCACAGCAATTGCAATGACAATTAAACGTGATCATGACTAGTAATTGCTATAAAGTATATTGTTGACGTCTTACCAGACAGAGGATTTGTTTACTTACTTTGTTCGCATAACTCCTCGGTGTAGCAATCGCTCCATTGTTGGCAAAATTCCAAAACTATCACCAAGATGTAATTGCTCCACATCGCCATTACTATGTTCTATTTCAACAGCACCATTTATCAGCACACTCCAACTATCTAATTCTTCGCCATCAGTCAGTACGATCATCCCGGCGCTCTCCACCACTGCGAATACCATTACCGCACACAGTGCACGTCTCACGGCCAAGGTCATGTTCGTGAATGCTTTTAAATGTTGCGTGAACTCTAGCAGGATCTCGATATCTTCCTCGGTTCGCTCTGCTGGATCTTTTTCCAAGCATTCACGCACGGTATCGCGAACAGTCAGGCTCTGAAATTTTTAAAATCGTTAGTACAACTTTCTTAAACAAAATAAAATTTGTTTCATACCGTAAGATGGACGGCGAAGTATATGAGAAGGTCCACCTTTACAAGCATGGAATGTTATCCACATATGCTTGTAAATTTACGATTATTATTATTATTATTATTATTATTACACGGAAAGAACAAGATGACACTGGATATCATCCCAGATTATACTCAGTGATATCTGTAGTGAAAAAGAGTAAAAGACCCAGTTATTGACACTGACCTAGTTGTTTGACACTTGCAATTTTATTTTAATTAAAAAAATTTAATGTTCTCAAAAAACCAACTTTCTTAAAATTTATAATTCAAACATTATATTTATTAATTTATTAAAGTTAATTTGTTTTTTTTTAATTAAAATAAAATTGCAAGTGTCAATAACTAGGTCAGTGTCAACAACTGGGTATTTTACCTTAGTATAATCTAGATTATACTGCCTGATATCTGGCTAATATTGTAATCTGGATTATACTAACCACTATCTGAAATTTTTTTCACTCAATATAATCTGGAATGATATCCTGTGTTATCTTGTTCTTTCGGTGTATAATTATAATAATTATAATTTCAAAAAAAAATTACTCAGAATAAAAAATAATTTTCATAAAAAATTTCTGAAACGATAATATTTTTTTTTTTTTTTAATATTTCAATAAACTTTTATTTAATTATATATAAAAAAAGTCTTTTAATTAAATTATAAAAAATTATATCTATTTATATATTATTTATATTTTAGTTTACAAACATGTATGGATTACACTCGCATTCCATGCTTGTAAAAGTAGACCCTAGGAACCCCACTGTCCATCTTACGGGATTAAATCATTGTTATTAAAATAAAATTAAAGGTTGTGGCTACTAAGAATTATCTGTCAATTACCAAGACTAACATTTTTATATATTTAAACATTACTATTGAGATAGATAGATTAAATGTATTGGTATTGGCAATTGACTTGTATACTTTATTGCTTTTACGACCCTCTGAATTGCAGTTTTACTCGAAAAAAATGATAAATAAAATAAAATAGAAGATTCAATTATATACTACAGACTATATGCTCTGTACTCGGAGTTATTTCATCTACAGAATTATTTAATATGATTACTGGCTAGATTTAATACAAGATAAGTGACCAATTACGTACGTCCATGCTCTCAGCTAGATCTTCGTCCTCATCGCTGTCTACTATCGACTCGACGAGGCCAGAGAAGTCGACCTCGTCGTTGTCCGCATCCAAAGATCCCTGGACCGACGTCATTGTGTCTGACCCGCTGTACGCCGAGCTGGTGTCGCTTGAATGGCTACTCCTGTTCGACTTTTGGTACAGCTCCGGCCGGTTCGTCAGCCCCGGTGCAAACTGAAATAAAGAACCAATTATTAGCTTACAATATGAGCTTATATTGAGACAAGACAGTTTAATAATAAATAGAAACCACCAGAACTGTATTTTTACCATAATCATAAATCATACCGAGACTTTTAGTCACTCAATAAAGACAATGCATTTCAACAATTGCTTTGTGAGTCTATTAATCATCGGTCATATCAATCTACATATACACGCGCAATTTATTTCACTTGCGCACACACACATTGCTTAATCTTCTTTATATTATATTATGAGTATTACATAAACCTTTTTAATAAAAGTTTACAAGCTTTAAATTAAAAGCTATAAATTGGTGATTGTATCAAACCCAATTATCAATATTATTATTTATTTTGTTTAAATTGCCAGTCGATCAAAGTCAATTTTATTTAAACATTCTTATTTTTAATCTTTAGTGGAAAATAATTATTTTTTTTAATTTTAATTTCAAGTGTTTCAGATAATTACTGTTACATAATGAAAATTAATTACTTTTCATTACACAAGTTTACTTTTTATTTAAAAAAAAAAAAAAAAAACTGGTTATACAAATTTAATATTTTTCCTTTCAATAACAATTTATCTGTTTAAAAGAAAACAAAAGGTTTATGCTGACTGTTAATTCTAGTATTATTATTTATTATGAATCATAAATCATAAAGCACTACTGTGAGTAAAACCAGTAAATTTCAAGTACAATTGGTTTCAGTTTATTCAGAACAGCTTGGTTTAAATTTAAAAAAATAATTCAAAATTCCCTGAAAAAAAATGCAATAAATATTTCTTAATGTTTAAATAAATGCATAATATTTTTTCGTAGTAAAAATAAAAAATTGTTATTTAAAACCCAAAACAACTAAACTCGCTGTTGACGTTTCGATGACCCTGAGTCCACGTGACCTTTCCAGTCCGTATAAATTTTAATATTTATATTTATAAACAACAATATATATCCCATAATATATATCAGAACTAAGCGACAGTACCGATCGAGGCGAGGAGTAGAATACCAAGAATGGGCGTGATTGTCGGATTGACGGTAAGGTTAGGACGCTGGACATCGTGACATCATGATGAAAAGAGTACATATAATATGTACACTGGATGACAATTGACAATTGATAGATGCAGCACACACCCACATGGGTGCTCCATCAGCAAAACAAAACAGCTAGAGTTTAAGAATGCGGAATCGCTCAATTGCTTTTTATATTTCTACTATAAAATTTAAACAGAATCGTGGATATGGAGTTTAGTTACATTAAACTTTATGAGAATGAGAATTCAGTCCAGTGCAGAGAAAAAAAAATTACTTGAATCAAGTAAATAATTTATAATACTAAAGTTTGCCGTTTCTAATTTTTTTTTATTTATTAAATTGGAACAAAAAAATATTTTTTTTAAATTGCACCTAAAGAATTTCAAGTTTTTTACAAGTGAAAATTTTTTTTAATAAAAAAAACTATAAAAATTTTTAGATGTCGGCAATTTAATTTTCATAATAATTTTATTTCATTAATTTGAGGAAAATTTTTAAACTAAGAAAATTTTACTTGATTCAAGACACTGAAACTCTTTAAAATTATTATTATTAAAGTTTTTCAAGTTTTTTACAAGTAAAAATTTTTTTTATTTTTTTGTAATAATTTTTTTAATAAAAAAAAATTATAATAATTTTTAGATGTCGGCAATTTAATTTTCATAATAATTTTATTTTATTAATTTGAGTAAAAAAATTCTTAAACTAAAAAAATTTTACTTGATTTAAGACACTGAAACTCTTTAAAATTATTTACTAGGTTCAAGAATAATTCTCTTGATCCAATTAAATTTTTTTTGTACTTAATTCACGACCCAGGCCAGTCATTGAAGCGAATTGTCGAGTAAGGTAAATGGATATCTAGATAAGATAAATAAAAAATAATGAATAAAAATAAAAATAGATACGGTAGTGTGCTTCAACCTACACCATCACAGGGAAATGTTAAATGCAATGTACTTTTAGGTGTACACGGTACACCGTGAAAGGAGCGTGCCTCACCAAGGCCATTTTGAGCTAGAGATTTCCGCGCTTCACATCTATAATCCACATTTCATTCTTCATACTTACAATTACATTCACAATCCACAACACACATTATATTAACATCAACACAAATACGTTGATATAAATAAATATATATTGTGTATTAATTTAATCAGAATGAGTCTATATTGATGCATAACTCACTTGGTACATGCCAAAGGCATCCATCGCTGCTGTCACTGCACAATATTTTCTTTCAATTAAATATCATCTAAATTTATTTTTAATTCTCGACATATTAAGTCTGTAATTCACCAATTAATTTACTTTTTTTATTTTAATTCTCTGCAAAATTAATTTATAATTAATAAATAAATAAATAAAAAAAATGAAAAATTTTTTACGCACATCATGATCACTTAAAACAAAACTTGTCGCTCTAATTCACTCACATACGACTCGGGTGTTTATAGTAATTGTAATTACACTAACTAGAATTATGAGTACTTGGTACTTATGTACTGGAATTAAAATATTTGGTGGAGTATCAACCGGCAGCTACTTTCATTGTACCTCTACTCAGTAGCCATTTGTGCAGCATATCCGTGGAAATTTAATAATAATAATAATTATAATATTTAAAGTTTATTTATTATTAGCAGATTGCGGAAGAAAATTTATGTGAAAAATAATTAGACAGTTGAACACATGCTGGAACTGGTAGGCAAGTATTGATAGTTATCAATTGTACGAAAATAATATAAACAAAATGTCTTGGTTTGAGTCTTGAGTTGTCTTGTTGTTTCCCCTTCTTATTAAATATTCCGTCTGTTCACAGTCACAGCATTGAGCATACGCACTTAAGACTATAGAGTGTGGTACCTAGTACCCGAACACACAATAAACACCAGCGCAACTAATACAATAACCAGCGGCCAACGAAAACCAAGTTAATAGTATATTCTCGATCTGTAGTGAGTATATAACTGAACGAACTAAGCGACAATAGTGACAATGCGCCGTCGCAGAGCTGCCACGATGTCTCGGCCAATCATTGAGCGAATAACGTGAGTCATGTGACCGATGTTAGAGCTGGGAATATCAGGAACGTATCGACTTGGGAGAAAGATTTTTCAGGGGCTCCACCTGTAGCTTCTCTTTTAAAAAGTTTTCAACAAAAAAATTCATTTTTCCTTTTTATTATTAAAACAAAATAATGATATTAAAGTTAGCAGTCACTTAATCATTTTTTAATTTTTTTTAACAAATAAATTTTTTCCAAAAAATTGCATTTTTTTTAATTTCAAAATGTCAATTTTTTTTTGCCATAATTTATTTGTTAACAAAAGTTCTAAAAATTATTGAATATCTGCTAAATTAATTTTCATATCAAAATAAGTATGCTTTTTTATTTTATTAAAAAATTTTATAAGCATTTTTTGTCTAAATTGAAGGTAGAATTTATTTTTTAAAGCTTGAAAAAAAAATTATAAAGATAGTTTGTTTTTAAAGAAGAAAATTTTTTTTTTATCGATGAGCAGAAAAATATTTTTTGTGAAAATTGATTTTTTTAAATTATAAAATTTTTATTAAGTATGACAGTCTTTTTACAATAAGTAAGTAATAGTATAATAAGTAATATGAAAATTAAGTTAGCCATTTAAAAAATTAAAAATTTTTTTTTTTTATTTAAAAAAATAAAAAGAAAAATTTAATTTGTAGAAAACTTGAAAAACTATAAGTGCAATTTTTTAAAAATATTTTTTAATTCTAATTTAATAAATGAAAAATAATCAAAAAATTAAAAACATCGCGGTATGAGTAATTATAATCTGATGATTTTATAATTTGTTTTTTTGATAAATAAATTGCAGCAAAAAAAATTTTATCAAAAATTATAAATGCAGTTTTTTTTAAAATAATTTTCTAGACTTAGTTTGTTTTTCAAAAAAAAAGTGTCGTAATCATTTTTGTTTTAGGATTTGTTGGAAGATAAAAGATTAGTAAAAAACCGGAATTTTTTAAAAAAGTTATTGGAGGTAAATATGTTTAAAGTGTTATGATTTATGACGGTTGGAAAATTGTTTTGGAATGTATCCAAGTACAAGGAAATATATAAATCGCAACGAGGGGCGGAAAAAGATGGAAAAGTTACTGGTGCTTTATGCTTGGAAAACTGAAAAAAGTAGAATGAGATAGAAAAATAAGTAGAGATTGTTGAGGTTGAGGTAGATGTGGAGAGAAGCAAAAAAAAAAACGACCATCGGCTTCATGATTTACACACCAATGCAATCCGTTATACTGTTTAGTTGTTTATTGTACACTGGGTCTTTGTACTCTCTCACTTTTCTCAGCTACAGCTGAACGCATGCTTTATTTCCAAATCACTCGCCCATTCAACCATCCGAGTATGTATAATAACTACGGACAACGTAGAGTACGGCAACTATGTATGTAAAATGCTACATGTATAATAACTGAACTAAACATAATGTTTATTTAACCACTGCATGTAGAGTTACATGTGATGAGAAAGGAGCAAGACTTGTTTTGTTTATTTAGGCGCTGTCACTAATGGATTTTGACAAATGGACCTTTGGGAGGTAGAAATTGAACTTGAGCTAAAAATAATTAATCTCGATCTTCCTTCCAGTTTAAATATCATTGTATGCACTTTTTTCTATTATGCTTTTTTTTATTTTACATACTCTACTTCACAGTTCTACGCGGTGTTTATATTTATATTTGTAACAATGAATTGGAAAATGGAAATCAACCGCTGGACAAATGAAAAAAAAAATACAATATGATGATGATGATGATGATAATAATAATAATAATAAATAAATAAAGTTTTGAAACGAGAAGTGAGATGAAAACTGAATGGGATATTGAATTGGAAAATTATTATTGAATGGTCAATTGTTGACCGTAAATCCAATCGCCGGCGGTTTTATCAAAAGCGATGTGAAATAAATAGAATGTATAATAGTATATAGTATATAGTACTGATCCCTCAATTCTATCCAGTACTGTTGCGGATGATAATAAAAAATCTAAATAGATTCATTTTCTATTGATTGCAGAAAAAGAATCATTATTAATTTTTATTTTGCATGACATGTGGCGCAGCAATTCGAATAAAAGTTTCATTGAAAAATATATATATTCAATTTAATAGAAATTGAAAATTTATTTATTAAAAAATTTAGAATTTCTAATAATTTTATTATCATAGATAATTTCAATTTTCCTCAATGTATTTTCTGGAATCGATAATATTTATCCTCTAGCTAAGTATATATTATTTACAAGAAATATTTCAAATAAAATATTAAAATTACAATTTCAAATTTTAAGTATTGAATTGTCATAATTTATTTTTAAACAAAATTCGACAATTTTTCTAAATTATTATTTAAAACTAATTTTCAGCGTTTTTAATAAAAAAAAAAAAAAATAATTACCGTATCATCGAAGACCAAATTGACCTGCCGATGGTCAGCGATGGGATGAGGATGCGGAGGTCTATGCATCCTTCCAAGGTTGTCGGGATAATCAATCTGCAACAATAAACAAGGAAAATCGATTAGCAAACACATTCATTACAAAAACTTTTATTTTTTCAATTTGAGATTCGGTTTGAGTTGGATACTCTGATCGCTAACTACAAACTTTAAAATTTAGGCATACATATGTATGCACTTGATTCTGTACCTCGTAGCAGCAACAGTGGAGAGTTTCTGTCGACCGCGAGTAGAGCGAGTAAGCCGATTAGTGAGTTGCAAAAGAGTTGAGTACATAGAACATAGATAGTACAGAGGGAACGGAACATAAAAGCAGATGATCCTCACGACTGATCTCTGATATTCTCTATCACTCGACTTAGACTCGAGGCAAACTGATACAGCTCCAGAAGCCTCTAAGCCTTTATATTATTCACCGGCTTACTCTAAATAAAATCCTAGAAGCATCCATGTTTCTATTTTTGCTCGTTATACTTTTAAATTTTATTAAATCCTGATACAATCCAAAACTCAACAATGATAAATGATGAATAAATTTATTTATCGTCATTTTTAAGTCTGTAGTAAGTAAAAGTCTATAGTCTTACTTGAAGACAATTTAAGTTATAACAGAATTATTTATATTTTAAATAATAAAATGAGGGAGAAACGAATGTATGTCGGACCGGAACTCGTAGGCCGGACTTCCTGTAGATACTCGTCATTTAAAATGTACTTCATAAATGTAATAAATGTTTTTCACAGCGCTGTTACATTTCTTTGAACGTTTTGTCAGTTTAATTTTTCTCGCGGGATCATTAGGTCTAAAAATCAAAAAAATTTCGCTTCAAGGTATATAATCTATATTATTAAGAGAATAAGCAAAATTTAGGGCTAGTGTATATGATAAAATGGGTTTTATCGTTAAATTTGGTATCGTTGGAAAAGTCTAGACCTGGAGTTGTACCTTTTCATGGTTTTATATCAGTCTCACCAATAGTCAATTTTTGATGATAAGTATTTATGCTGCATTCAAAAACGCTCTATCTCTAGATACATAATTAAGAAATGACCTTGTATCTCGTGAACTATTGATATTTTTAAAGATGTAAGCTCATCCCGATATTACACTCATCAAGAGCTTCCATTTGAGTACCCACATGCATTTTGATATATTTTTCATATATACATATATATAATATATATAAATATATGAAAAATTGATGTGGGTACTTAAATGAAAGGTCTTGATGAGTGTAATATCGGGATGAGCTTATATCTTTAAAATATATATTATATATATGTATATGTGAAAAATATATCAAAAATGCATGTGGGTACTCAAATGAAAGCTCTTGATGAGTGTAACATTGGGATGAGCTTATATCTTTAAAAATGTCAATAGTTAAAAAAGTACAGTGCAATTTAACAAAATTCATTATTTAATCAAGCAAAATTTTATTTATTTATATTTCACAAGTCACGGCAGTCACATAGTGACTGCAAAGTTGCTAGTTATTAATACTAAAATTAAAAAAATCAATAGATAAATTTCTAGCATGAATAATTAATTTTTTTTTTATTTCATGCGCAGTAATTTTTGACTGTCGAAAATCGAAAGGCAAATTAAGAGAACGGGAATACTCGAGTGATTATTCAACGGTTTCACCCTTTTGGTTCCGCGTTTTGATAAACGAGCTTTGCAGGTCGATTTGAGGTGAAGCGTTGAAACCGCACCCGCTCTAATAAATTTACCCCGTACTGTATCCATTCCAGCCAAACGAAGTATGTTAGAGTAAATATATGTATACTAATACTCAGGAGGTCGAAGAAACGAAGGGTTGGTCATCTATTTTTCCCTCGCAATTTACAACGTCTGTTCACGCGTACGCCGGATAGGAATACCACCGTTTACGCTGCAGGTGGCTCACTTTTTTACTGCCAACCAGACCAGACTAACTCAACTCCCTCTGGACTCTGGATAGGAGACAGCTAAATGTATAATTCTCTTATATATTATTCGTGGGGATACTATGCCAGGTACCCAGCAAATTATCGCGATTCAAACGCTACCGTTATTGTTATACAACAATACTCTGGAGTATGTAGACCCGCGTAATTAAAAATAATGCTCGGTTAGGTATTATTTGTTCGTTTATTAATGTACACGGAAAAAAACAGTTAAATTTTTATAGTTTGGAGCTTACATTTTATAATTAGGTGCATTTAAGCTGCAAAAAAATAAAATTTATTGTCCAGAAAAATATTTATTATTCAATTTATTTATTTATGACAAAAAAATATTATTTGCTTCAATTATAAAACATTTGACTATATTGTATTAGATAAAAAAGTAAATAGCTTTATTTGAATTAAGAGTAATTATTAAAAACAGATATTCTTTTTTTAAATAATTTTTCTTAAAGTATTTTTTTTTCTGAGCATAGCAAAAAAATGGAAAAATGACAAAATCTGTAAATTATATTTTAAAATTGTAAGAAATATAATATTAATTAATATTTTTATAAAATGCAATTTTTATGCATTGATTTTTACAAATTAAAAATACAATTTTTTTAAAAATTGTATTTTGAAACTGTAATTTTTCCAATTTTTTGCTAAGTGCACCTAAATCTCATATTTTTCATAAAAAAAATTGATAGTAAAAAAAAACTAATTTTTTTTCGTACAATAGTGAAAAATAAATATGAAAAACTTTTACATGGTGAAACAAATACGTATACAATATAAATGATCACGTTAATAAAACTCGTATTGCACAATATCGACAGAATAATTTATAATCAACAGAGAATAGAAAAATTAGTTCATTTTATCCCAGATTGTTTTTTCGATAAATAATTTAGTGTATGTATGTATAAGTATGTAAAAATATTGTCGAATAAAGTCGACGGACTTAATTAAGTATCTGCTGGATTTATTTATAGCTTTGTTTTTTTTTTATTTTTTTTTTAAGGTAAATAATTCATACATATGCAAGTATTTGTATGTACGATGTACCTCCTCTCTCGTCTCCTGACCCCAGGTGAAAGCATTGTCGCTACAATGTGTCGTCAGACGTTGTGTATATATGTATTGACAAAAGAACACGCCCGCGGGTTCATGTCTTTATTTCACTCGGCGTATCCGACTGGGACTTTAAACTCCCTAACGATGTTCTTTCTTTCCTTATTACATTGTACTATATATAAAAATATAATAATATAGCAGATTCGACTTGAAAAGTGCAGCCTTTATCTTGGCATTCATTTGCGCTTTGTCGGGTAATCACGCATTGTAGGAAAGATAATAGTGATGCTCGTGGAGACTCAATAAAAATAAAAAGATTAGATGGTAATGAAATCTTATGACTTATTTTCAAGCTTTTATAGTTTGTAGAATAAATAAATAAGATAATAGTTTTATTTAATTAAAAATAATAATAATAATGAAATTAAATTATTGATTTGCGAGTAGAGCAACTAAAATTGAGCTGCGACAAAATTAACCGTGATAAAATATTAAAATATTTGTAGCGTGAAAGTATCAGACTCTTGACAACTTTTTTAAAATTCATAAGCTATTTACATTATTACAATAAAAATTTTATGGAAAAATCCACTCGGAAATTTTTTATACTGCTATTAAATTAAATTAATATTTATTCAGTATTAAAATAAAAAAAAATATCAGCTATCTGTTAAATTTCACACTCGTTATATTAAAAAGTCAGCGTTATTAGCTTAATTTAAAAAATTAAAATAATTATAATATACACAAATTAAAGAAGTTTATTATAAATATTTTCATTCTTTTAAATATTTTTTACTTGTCAAGGTTATTTTTTTACTTTATCATTAGTTATTCACTTACAAAATCAATTAAATAAAATATTTAATTTATAAATATTATAAATTCTTACATAATTATCTTTTCAAACTTTATAAATAAATTTCCCAACAAAAAAATTCAATAACAACTAAAATATAAATAAATAAAAATAATTTCCCCTCTGTATCCATAAAACACAAAAATTACTCTCGTAAAAACAAAAAAGCGAAATAATAATGGTAATTTTGTTTACTTGAGAAAACTTTTGAATGTAAATGATAGAATTTAGAGTCTCATTACTAAGATCAGAAGAAAATGACGGTGATATTGGAAACCGGGGAGTAATTTTGACAAACGGGTTTATTATGCAAGAATTCATAATGAAGAATATTCAAATGCAATGCGGAAATTTTCTCTCAGTATTCAGTGTGTATAATTTACCAAGTACAAGTAAACCCACTATGCTATACATCATATAATGTTCCCATTCACTCCGTATAATATTCGTACCTCGGACGCAGAAGCAATGGAGAGAGTATAAGGGGTGCCAGGCCAACTTCTCGACCCGGAGCGTCCTCGTTTCTTCCTCAAGACGATAAACCGCGGTCGCGCGGTAGGACGTCCCACGTGTTTAAGCATTTTGTATTTCTTCACCTATTATTTCCCTTATCACTTGCCTCTATTATCACTTTCTATTTCTATTGAACTATCATCACTTCCATTACAGTCAATAAAAAATACTTCAAACATTTAAAACTATCCTGCGTGTCCTCCATCGAGCGAAAGTTCATCAAGAGAGCTCACTCGCTCTCTCTTATCGCTTGTATATTTTTTTTTTTTATTATTATTATCACTTCACTTGTTTTTTTTTTTTTAATTATTATTAATTAATCCATTTTAGTTCAATTAAATAATTAAATCCTCTAATCGTTACTTTGCTTTCACATGTTAATCACTAGAAATTAAAATTTTTATTCAATTAAAAATAATTTTCATGCAAACTTCAAAATCGAAAAATTTTTTTATTCAATTAAAATTAGCCAATTAATCACGTTAAATAAAAATAAAATTGTATGTAACTCGAAAAAGACATCGCGAGTAAGAATATAAATAAATATAAAGCATTGTATGTTAACGGTACAATCCTACAACGTGCACTATCCCCAACGGACTTTCGACGATACGAAATTTCACGATGAGTTGATGTAGAGGAGGTAGTGAGTAAGTGTACAAGTATTATACGTATGAGTGAGTAAACGTGTGAGTATATAATATGGGAATGTGAGGGAAGCAGATACCAATACAAGTATTGTGTGTGTATGTAGTATTATCTTTACAGTCTACACACTCGTCATATCACTACTTACACTACTGCTGTACTGTAATGTAGTAGAACGAGGTATTGACTGTATGAGTGGTACTTCACTTAGAAAATGGATGGCTGTGTGGGTAATGGAATGGGTTTTGGTTTGGGTTTGTGTATGGGTAGTGAGCAAGTAATCACGTGACATGGACAGCTAAGCGCACACGTGTTGCAAGACCTCAATTGAAACGAGACGCCGTGGCGGATTACCGAGTTTAAGTATACTTGATCGCATCGGAGACATCTTGGTCTTAGTTGGGTTGCAAGTAAAGTAGTAAAAAAGAAATCAAATTGTGGAATTCTGTTCGTTAACTGAAGCTTCATAGGTGCAATTTTGATCAATTTTAAAACACAAAACTTTCAGAGTAGTACTGATGTTTTTTTTTTTAGTTTCACTTTGAAGAAAGGGAAAGTTTGTTCAAAATTTGAGATTAGCTTCGTATTAATATTAATGAGTCTATTGGACACTTTTTGTTATTAGAACAAGCACAAGTTTTTTTATTAAGGATAGTTTTAGAATAATTGTCGGAAATTTTTTTATTGAAAAGTAGAATTTAGTTATTAGATTAATGCAATTATGTTCATACTTTAAAATTAATAAATATCATTATTATTTCAACAGTTTTTCTTAATCAAACTGAGACACTTTAATTCAAAAGTACATAATTATTTTCTTGACATAAACTAATTTGACGTTGGCTCAAACAAATTTATCTAACTTATCATGATTAATTGTAAATTTCAAACACGGAGGGACTTGACGTCAAAACTTTATACATATTTTTTTACAGTATGACGTAAAGATAGCGAGAGATTAATATTATAAAATCAAGGTAATTTTATTATGATTTAAATCAATGTTTTTTATATCAAGTTTTCAATTTTTACTAAATAAATTTTGTAAAATATGTAAGAATAACTTCAAGTATTATAATAATAATTGTTATTATTTTTATTATTATGATAATATATAATATACCAGCAGACAGTGTTAAAATTTTAAAGTAAGTCTACTCTGGGGTGAATGTGGAATGCGACGAGGGATCGCGACGTGACAACAGGCGAGATTTTCGCAACCGCAAGCTGCTAAAAATTTATCTCGCTATCCGTTGTTCGAGTTCATGGAACATGGAAGAATATCCACCAAACTCAAAACACAAAAAGAAAATAAAATAAAAGAAATATACATAAATATTCCATTCCGGCTTGAGTTTATTTTGGGTACCACCCGCGTTGAGGAGTGAATAAACTTGAAAGCCATACGAGTTAGTACACGTTATACAGCACCACGCTAACTAAAATTTATTCTAAAATTAAATCATAATAAATTCGGAGCCGCTGCTTCAAAATTCAATTTCAATTTCCATTATAAACTTTTTAGGTTTGCGTTTAAAGAGCATTTTGTTAACTGTCCAATTATAATTGGTGTATGTATGACTGGTAAAATACGGATAACAGCACATAACATAATATAATATAATATAAAGTACATAATAGCATAATATGATGTATAATGTTATTATTTAACGCCAGTGAAGTTTGAACAGTCACAGGATAGGATATTAGGATCTTTTACTTATTTTCCAGGAAATGACGGTACGGAGGGATCGTTAGGGGTATATGGTATGGCATAATATGGTTGAGGAGTACAAACGAGGGTATGGCAGGTAGTCAGACGTGTCTGGGTGTTGAACCACAGCTAGGCAGCCCAGGACTACATACTACAACATATAACTATAACTAGACCCTCGTCTTTAGATTTCACACACATGTATTTTATTTTTTTTTTATTTTTTATCTTGCACTTGAGAAAAACATAATGAAGACACAACTCTAAGCTCAACAGAACAGAACACCAGAAGGTTGAAGTAAAATTCAATTTTACTTTTCAGAAAATTTTACTCAGAAATTAGATGAAATCTTTAGGGTTTTCCGACATCACATGTGACACACAGATTTTATACATATGTGGATTATACGCATGTTAACATTAATATTTATATTAATTAAAAATATAATTATGTAAAAATAAATTTTAATTATATTAAAATTTTCGATATTTTGGAGTTATAACTTGAAATTTAATATCTTTTTGTGTAGTTGAATTTATGTTGAGTTATGATATAATTATTTACAGTATAAGAATGAATAGAGCCGGCTTATAACTAGATTGAGTTTAAAGAACGAGTTAATATTGAGTCAAAGTCGCGGTTACTTGATACGAGTGTGGCAGTCCGCGAGTTGGGTTAAGAACTGAGTAGAGAACTGAGAACAGAGAGACATACGCTCTTCACTTCCTCTCCGTGGTGGAAGATAATGCACGTCACTATCTCCTTCACGGATGTGTGCCTGAACGCTAGTTCACAGTTTGCTTTTTTACTTTTTTTACTCTTCCTGCCAACGCATTTTTCATTTTTTATTTCATTCATGTGTTTGTCGAACTTGTAGATAAAGATAACGAGTTTCTGGATGTATATAGTCACCGTCCGCTTCAATGGCGTTGATTTTAAAGTTTCAAAATTATATAGGGAGAAAATTTCATTTTTTCAATGTTGGAAAAATTTTTGAAATTTTTTATTTGTAAAATATGAGTCAAAATTTAATAAAAATTCTTAATGTTTTTTTTTTTTTCTTTTTAATGAATGTGAATGTTGCAAAAATATTTGAAAGTCACCAAAAGCTTCAATTATAAAATAATAAAATTGAGATATCTTTAAAAAAATTCAAGTGAAAGTTTTGTAAATTATTATTATAAAATTTAATTTATTTTTTACCGTAAAAAATTCATATATTGTAAATTTGTTTTTAATCGAATTTTAAAATTTAATATACCAAATATTTAATTTAAAAAATAATGTACGATATTTATTTATCAAAACGAAAATTTTATGAGTAACTTTTAATTGAAAATTTAATTACAGGCAGAAAAAATAAAAATTAAAATTCCGCCAGTCAAAATTAAGTGTACCATTTCTATAAAATGATGACAAAACTTTTATATAAAAACGGAGAATAAATTTAAGTAGACGTAAAAGTAGATTTTTATTACCGTGGATATAGAGCAAAACAAAAATGAAATACAAATGGTAGTACACCGAGTGTGGCCGTAGGCATGAATGGAAAGTCCAACTTGAACGTAAATGTAAGTTAGCGAGATACACACCAACACAAATTACATGTATCGTGTGTAGACGATCAACCGTGCGCAACTCCTCTACTCTTATTGCACACATACTCTCAATTCATTACACATCCGCGTATCACGAGTATAGAGCCTGAATTCATATAGGTGATAGACATATATGAATATAAATATAGAAACCATCCAATATTATAGACGAGAGAGCAGAGTATATTTATGTAGAATCCACACACAGGAGATTTTATTCAAGTGTATCGAGAGCGCGCTCTCACTGACAGCCCACGCGTGTGTCACAACTAAACAGAATAAGCTTTGTAAATATAAAGTACACTTACACTAAAATATTAAATATAAAATCATTGTAAACAGTTATTATTTTAACAGCAAGCGTACTATATTATGTGTGCATACTCAAACTTTTTACTTTTGAATTCATTTTCATTTCCTACCGTATAGCAGAGCTTTAATTAAAAAATTCACCGGTTTATTTTTCCATTCGTACCACAAGTGAATTAAAAACTCAATGAATAGAGTAAAGTTTAAAATTCCAAGTGTTAATATAACATTAACATTAGTTATTTTTTTTTGTTAACCTATTTATCGAGTCACGCATGAGAAATCAGTGTGTGGTCGGATGAGTGCGAGCTTTGAGCTATTAAATATGCACTGTGTACGTGATGTTAGAGCGGGGTTATTTTTTGCTCCAACAGGTGCGAGTGACGCAATTATCAGGCTGCAGGTTTCATTTAGTTCGGTCACGAGTGACAAAAGCAACTGTCGGGATAATTTGTTTAAGTGGTTTGTTGGTAGATGTAGAGCTTGTATGTTTTGGTTGGGTTGCATTGCTTGATAACTTTATAGATAAAGATTGTTTGTTTGTTTGATTTTTAAGGAGATTCTTCAATGGATAATTGTCTTCAGGGTTACGGCTTTTGTTTGGTTGTTTGCTTTTTAAATAATTGTCTATTTATTTTATTTCATATTTGTTTTTTTTTATACAGGTGGAAATTGATATCTTGCAAGTATTTATTGTTTTTAAAATTATTTTTGTTACATTTTATTAGAGTTCAAGTGAAAAATCTGTTTTTTTTTCTTAGGAATGTTTTTGTTCAATTTTTTATTAATTAAAAAATT